TGTAGGTGTTGTGAATGATGTGTTCACCGGTGTACTCTAAAAACCCATTGACATGTATTGCGAGTGGACTCTCGAAAATGATACTGTCAATAAATGAGATAACCCTAGCAGATGTGCTCGAAGGAAAATAGTAGCAGCTGCGATTCATATAGAATGTCACAATTTTGGGAGCTGTGCCTAAGTGATAGAACTAACAGTTGTGCTTGACAACCGTGTCATTGACAACGATGGACTTCGTACCTATTACTTAGGATAATCCTTAGGAATGAATGAATGAGAAATAGCTGATTCTTAGGGTAGATCCTTAAGAGTAAAGAAGATAATGGGGATGGGTGATTGGGTTAACTGTTTGATGATTAAACATAATAATTATATTATTGTGGGTTGAAAACCCTATGTACTCACCGGGTTTTCTAACCTGACCCACTCAGTTTATTTATATCACAGGTGTTGATGTGAAGTCACATTACACTAAGAGATTAAGGAGATATAAATCACTAGTGATAATGAATGTAAGTTCTGTTTATGCTTATGTTTCTGTATTGACAATGACGTCCTAAATGTTTTAAAATGAATAAAAATGCATTTCTTCAGAAATGCTTTGATAACGTATTTATCATGTTTTACTGGGAACAACTTCCACAACACTTTTATTAAAAGAAGTACTCTGATTTTTATAAATCATAAACAAAATCGGTCTTTTCTGGCCGTGAAAATGGGGATGTCACAATTGGTATCAAAGAATTAGTTTAAGAGAACTAGGAATAAGGATTTATTTCTAGACTTAAACTTAGAATGCTAAGCGATGATCATGAGGAGTGTGGCCAATATGTTTAAGGTAGTACACCTGAATAGATTTATGAAAATGCCTAACATGCTTTTATGTGCTAAATGATTTATGATATGCATTATATGATCGGATCTATGGTCTGTTGCCGACCGGATCTGGAAAACTTTATATGTTTAGGTTTCTAAATGTTTAATTATGGTATTAGAACTGACATGTAACTTTTCTGAGCAATAAGGAGGATTCCACATCTAAATCTTCTCTATCTATATTCTCGTCTCGATGCGATGAATGCATGCTTCCGTGAAAATAACGTCATGGTGAAGACTCATATAGAATTAAGTAAATAGAGGAAATGAAATGGCAGTCTCAAATGCCCAAGACCGTCAACAGTAAGCACTATACCATGCTAAAAATGTTGTTGTATAGTCTTATAATATAAATAAAACTATAAGAAGATTGTAGTCATACGTAAAAGTAAAACGAAATATTACTTTTCCCGTAAAAACATAATACCATAATAATTGTATATCCGGTGAGTTCTCATAACCATACTATCATATTTTGCCTGCAACGACGCTCTTCAGACGTCGAAAGGTTATGACACTTGTCACCTTGCGGACTGTACCTAGCAGTCAGGGTGCGGGATCATTAGTCTCGTATAGATCTATACACATTTGCCACGTTCTCCGGACGGGAGATTCTGGTTATAAGATAGGACAAACAGTAGTACCTCGAAAGGTATAGTGAAGATGTTGTCTCACGAATTCTCAATTAAGTTACGTATTACTATGTGTATGTTTGTTTCCGTAAAGTCTATCATTTTTCCATAGTATTGACAAAACCATAGTAGTAATGTGTATATTCCCATGAATATAGAATGTTGTAGTTGAAACGTTTTCTTTTGGGTATGAAATCGTATATGTATTTATAAATAAAACATATTTCTATTTATAAATCATGTTGTATCCCCAAAAGGTAAAGTAGTGTAAGATGTTTACATGTTAACTAATCCATTTGATAGTTATAAAAACATTATGCACTGTACAACAAAAGATCGGTGTTTTCATGCAAGAAAAACTGCGTTTTTACTTGTATTCTCCCCCGTATGGTATTAAAAGCATTTCAAAAGCATTTAAAAGCATAGAAATGGGGGGTATGAACTCACCTAATTAGTTTGAATAGAGTGAGATGAGAATCGAGCAGAACTTCGACTAGGGAAGGCTGATTCTTCGGGTTTCTCGGGAATCTTGGGAGCGTAAGACCTCCGTCTAATCTTGGATATGGAACTGCGGTGTAGGGGTAGTATTGAGAGCTTAAAAGAGTGTAAAAGTGAGAGAGTTTGAGGTTATGTGCCAAAAACCCGGAGCTCATGCACTCTTTATATAGTGCTGGAGAACCCGGTACGTTGGGCGTACTCTAGGGGTATGCGGGGAGTACTCCAGAGTCGTCAGCGCTTATGAATCGGGTCTAGCTGATGGGATGGGGCTCTGCGCCTGAGTACGCTGGGCGTACATCAAGTTACGTTGGGCGTACTTTGATTTTTCAAACTTCTAAATTACGTAACTTTCGCGTACGAGCTCCGATTTTCGCGTTCTTTATATCCACGCGTAGGTGAGAGTGTACTCTACAACTTTCATTTAGAATCCGTTGGCTAGTTTTGACTTTATTTTTAATAGGCTTGGGCTGATAAAGTCCGTTAAAAATCCATAACTCCTCCATCTGATGTCCGTTTTCGTCTGTCTTATTACCGTTGCGATACTCTTGTTGAGATCTTCAACTTTTGTTTAGGTTGCGTCGGCTAAAAATTGTCCAATCTTTATTTCAAGTTTTTAGCTGTCTACTGCTATTCCAAAACTTCGAAAAATCATAACTTCCTCATATGAAGTCAGATTTGGGCGTTCTTTTTATGTATATTTACAGTTTAACGATATCTAAGACTTTTATATAGATACTTAAGGTTGAAAAGTATTTTATCGAAATTTTGCATTTTACGCTTAACAGCGTTTTACCGGTATTGCTACAGATCTTCAAATGGTCATAACTTCTTCATTATAACTCGGATTTTAGTTATCTTTATATTTTTGGAAACCTTGTCACGATATCTACCACTTATTATACTCAAACTGAGCTTTCTGAACACTTCAATTTTGACGCTGTTTTTATTACTTCATAAAAGATTACAAAAAGTTGACTTTTAGTCATTACATTGCTCTGAAATAACGGGTTGTTACATATACTACCGAAAGCACGAGACTCACATTTAGAAAGGATAAATATTATAGTACATGTAATCGATCCTATATCCAAAGCATATGGGACACGATTCATGATGCCTTACATAAAGACATGATCCTAGACCAGTCTTTTGCTACAATATTTTTTATTTGCCATGTTTTCAAAATTTGACTATGAAGAGGGATGTTGTAATCATAATTGAATTTGAGAACGCAATATATATAGAATTTCCTTGTGTTGAACTATTCCAACATATAAATCATATATATATATATATATATATATATATATATATATAATATATATATATATCATTGACTAAAGATGATTAAAATCCCAATCTAAGCTTTTATAATTGAAATGAAGTATAATTTCATCTCCCTTAATTATTGCAAAACAACTTTTCCCAATTGAAACTTTTGTTTTCTATAATTAACACTTAACATAATAATCATGCTCCCACCAACATGATAATTATTAGTATAACACTTATGCTCCACTAGCTTTGACATATATCCAGAAATCGGTTGGACTTCTAGAAATCAATACTTTGTTGACTTTCTTTCCAAAGTTCATATTTCCGATATGAGATGCTTTGACAAGAATTTATAAAAATCATACATATTTCCTTAGATAGCTCATATGTGTGTCTAAACAATTTTTAGAACTATAAAAATGGATGTCGTAATCATAGTCTCAATTGTTTAGTCCTTTTCCTTTTCTCACAAGTCCATGTTTGTGTACCGATTAACCACACACGCTCCACTAACGACTTTGAGAATGCAAAAATCACAATTGCTATCTACTTAAAATCTATTTAGTGAAAGCGTTTCCTCACCATCATTTTCATGAATATGAGAGAAACCTTATGACACTTAGATTTTATGGTGTATGTGTTCCTATCCATGTGAGTTTTTCATAACCATAATCACAAACAATGTTTTAAAAACAGGTTTTTTAGTTGAACCGGTATGGTGACCGGTTCCCGGTTCATCCGGTTTAATCGGGTTTAACCGTCGGGTGAACCAGTTTCTATACTTTTGATGTTTTTTCTTTTTATTTTCCTACACATACATCCATATGTAAATTATGAATTTGATGTTTACAAGTTCAAACATTAAAAAATACACATAAAAATAAGTTGTAGATGAATCCAAATACATTAAAATACCACATAACCATAAGTTTTAGTGTTTTACATCAATCTATATACGTTAAAATAAAAATAAAGTATAATACCGAAACAAAATATAGTTTTAGATAAATACAAACATATCAAAAAAATTTATAAAATTTATCATATGTTTTTATTTAGAGAAAACTAAATAGATTTGAAAAAAAAATCACCAAAGTTTATTATGTAAATGGTTCTTTTTCATGTGGTTTTATTAGTTTTGACCGGTTCAATCGGTTTATTTTGACTGGTTCAACCGGTTTTTCTAAAAATCGGCCGGTTCAATCCGGTTCAGAAATCAATATAAAACCGGTGATAGTCGAACCGCTCCCTGTCCCGGTTCCCGGTCCAACCGGTTCGACTGGCCGGTTCAAACCGTTTTTTAAAACATTGACCACAAGACAAGGTTAGTGACAAATCAAAGCTCATATGAACTGAACCTGTTCAATCACAATTTCTCGCCACCTGGCAGCACAAGGGCCTACCATTGCTACCAGGTAGTTATGGAAACAACTGAGAACTCATAGAACTCACATGCATAGTCAACTCTAACTGGAATGGGTACAGAAACAAGAATATGTCAACACGATAAGTTACAAACCTCAAGTCGTGTACTAGTGATAAACAATAGGTTTTATTCTTGATTAGTTTCTTGACACTTTTCAAGATCTTTAAGATTCCCACTGACCTCTTGACATATAAGATTCTCTTGTCAAGAACCATTCCTTGACAAAGCAAATATTTTTTGGCCATGACCTTGCCACGTGCAAATTTTTTATTCTTGAGTACTCTTGGAATCCGATGAGATGCGACCACTGCAAATTTTTTGGCCATGACCTTGCCACGTGCCCAATTCACACAACTAGTACTCCAACCCCAAAGCCGACAATGCCCACACTAAAAGAGGTTGATAATGAAGGATTCCAAACGGTCAAGAGGACAACTAGATCAGTTCCAATCCCAAAAAAGAAGATTCCCATTGACAACCGTAAAGGAAAAGGCCCTGCTTTACAGATTTCTCAAGTTTATAAACATGTCAACCGAGCAAAGCCAAAGGAAAAAGTCTCCACTAATATGTTCGATGCTCTATCTCATCAAAGAGTAGTTGATATTGAAGACGATTCGCATGTCCCTCCTGTTATGCAGTCGAAAGAAACCGTCCCAGATTCAGGCACACTTCCGAGCTCTTCTCATGGTGGTCGTATCTCCTCCCTAATTGACCAGGGATGATGATTTTTGTTTTTTTTATCTTGTTAATTAGTCTCTAGTTGCATGTTTGTTTTGCCTTGCTTTGGGGCATGTCCCATAGCTTGGCTTGTCTTTTTTTCTTTTTATTGGGCTATTGCCCTTTCTTTTGTATTTCTTCCTATATTTAATATATTTTGCCAAGGGGATTCCTTTTTTCCAAAAAAAAAAAAAAAAAAAAAAATTCAAGAGTTAGTGCGAATTCTTATCAAGATAAACACTTCAGACAATTGGTCTTAGTTGGTCTTTGTTTTATAAAAAACATCACAACTTATCAATTTCAAATGTACAAGAGTAAGAGAACATTTTACTCTACATTTGATAAGAGTTATAAACCTTCTAAAGATTATGTCACTCAAGTTACAATCTTGGAGCATGACTCTAAGACTTGTTTTTGGAACAAAGTATGATTTCTCTTTTGATTCAACCATTTTAACAATTCACGATTCCTCTTCTTAGTCAAACAAATGCACTAAGATGTCCTTTGAGGATCAATTGTGATGTGGTTTCATAATCATTAAGATAATCATAAAACAAGATACTCAAGTACTCTCCCATCTTTTCAAATTGGAGAAACTTTTATCTTTCTGCCTAATTTGATTCTTCTTATTTGTCCTGCCTTACATTGAAACTTTTCCAATGTTTCATAATTATACTTAAACTTGTAAGTATAATTATATTCACTAACTTTTAGTAAATCATGACGAATAACCTTATCGATCTTTGTGGTGGACCTGACCAGCGCACAACCAAGTGTACCTGATCCCTTTGTCCTTCACTTGACTCACATATACCTGTGAACAACGAATTAGTCTTATTTTCCCAAAGATGAAAATTCTCATTCATCATATAGTACCGGTTGCATGATTCCAAGTTTCTATCCAACTGAAACTTGGGCGACGAGAATCTTTCCTTATTTGACAAATTATGACACTACCACAAACGAAAGAATCAAATTTATTTTCCAATATTGTTGTCAATGGAATCATATAAACAACAATTTTAACAAATGCCATTGTAAGGAACCATAAAATAATGTAAAATCTAAATTTTCCTTTATTTTATAAAACTTTGCGGAAAAACTTTTCCTTACATTACATCTACAAATGAAACTATGTTGTTATCTATTTCTAAGAAATCTATCATAACTCTTAAGATAAGAATCAACTTACTCTTCTTTTAAGCTTCCTCTCTTTTCTTTGATTTTATGAAATATCAAAATGCGACCTACTCACATCATGTATTAAGAATCTCCAAATAGAAACTTAATAGAGTTAGATAGTGGACTTTACCCGAAGTAGAGTCAAACTTTTTGACTTTACCATCCTTATGATATTTTAGGTAAATAGGGCAGCTTCGCAACCAATTCCCCTTCTTTTGGCATATGGACTCTTTGGGAATGGTACACGAGACTATCTTAGACTTAGCCTTTCTCTTTACCATTGGTCAAATGACTTGACCATGGCCGATCCTTTTCCATTGGGAAGTGAAAGCTTTTTTGGACTTCCAATGTTACCATTGTCAATGTCCAAGTATGTTTGGGAAGTTGATCTTCCAATCAAATTTGCTTTACTAGTGCTTCAAATCATTGATGATTTAGCAGCAACAAGCAAATAGGTAAGATCATTAAGGGTCGTGTCATAGTCTATTAGATAATAGTCCTTAAATAACTCACTATGTGACTTAGGAAGCGATTGAAGAACCCAGTCAACAGCCAACTTCCTTGAGACTTTGACACCCAAATCTCCCAGGCTGTCAATATGTGACTTCATCTCCAAGATGTGAGTGTACATAGACTTGCCAATAGGACTTGAGTGACCTTGAACTATTCAAGTCTTTAAACTTGTGGGTTAAGGAGAATTATTGGAGGGGGTGGAGGAGGAGAAGTATGATTTCCATGATCCAATAATGGGACATCATCTTCATTAGGAAAGCTTGTTCCAAGGGATTTGGGAAGATCATAGTTGTCTGAACCAAACATCTACAATGGGAGAAATTCAAGTTAGTTGATTTAAGTCCTTAATATAACACCCAATATGAAATATCAAGGCTAGGACCCAACACAATATTTTATAACTTGGAAGAGGGATGCCATAGTCCAAGCTATAAAATATTTGAAGGTAGGTGAATGACGATTCACCAATTTCCACCATGAAAAACGAAATAGGTATTAGGTTTTAATTGTTTGAAACTCCTAGATCTTTTGAGATTCATTGAAATTTTCAATGGAATGTTTAAATCTCGATTTTACCTTCTCAAGTTTGTGACTGGGATGCCGAGGATCACAAACAAAGTGTGAATAACCATGCAAATTAACTTGGTACCCTTAATATTTATCACCTAATCAATGTGCTGGTTATCCAGACGCGCTCCACCAATCTATGATAAACATTAAGTTACCCTTTGCCACTCTTACTAGTCCATGTTAGTGTGCCAGTTACCCACACACGCTCCACCAACGACTTGGTAAGGTACAAAGTGTAATTTCATGGGTTAGCACCAAATTCACATATTCCTAAGTAACTAAGATTGGGAATTTATAAGTGTTTAGTAACTTAATATTTATCATTATACTTTTAATGAAGGGAGAATTAATGTCCTGTCAAACCCATTCGGCTAACGACCCTCCACCAGTCAAGGAAGCGGTGGGTGAGAGTGGACACCCATTAAACTGCCATTTTATAGGCAGTAGCCTTATACTCCCCTTATAGACCGGCTTCGTGGATGAGGCCTACTAACGGTAAGCCTGACTTTGTTCTTATACATATATATATATATATATATATATATATATATATATATATATATATATATATATATATAATTGTTAACTATTAATATTATAATAGTATAAGGGTTGAATTTTAACCTTTAAAATTCTAAGGATTTAACTTGGAATTAAAGTATTCATGGGGGGGGAACTTTACAAATTCCAAAACTTGAGGGCAAGTTTTGAACAATTCAAAAACTTTTGCTTTCCATAACTTATGAGTTTAAAGTAGTTTTAATGAAAAAACTCTTCAAGTTCCATAACTTGAGGACAAATTATGGAAGACTTTAAAACATTTAAAAATGAGACTCTTCACTTTCATAACTTATGGAAATCTTATGAGTTTAAAAAATCATAAATGTGACTTTTCATATAACTTGAGGACAAGTTACAAAAACACCTTTTATGAACAACTTTTAGATCAATTTGGATCGAAAATAAATTATCACATAATTTTTCTATCAATCTAAACTAACTCATAAGAACAAGATAATTTAAATCATCAATCTTTAAGAAATTAGCATGAACATATAAACTAATACGGATCTTGAAATTATGACAATTATCTTTGAAATTGGATTAGCATGATCATTACCACATCAAAAACACGTTTATAAGTTCAAAAACAGCTTAGGGTAATGATTCTAGTCCAATTCCAGCCAAAAACATCGAAATTATGCTGTCAGGGGCTCCAACTCGCCGAGTGCAAGAAAAAACTCGACAAGTTGGATGAGTTTGTACATGGACTTGTCGAGTCCCTCAATGGACTCTTTGATTCCACTATCCAGATAGCAAAAAACTTCAATTTTCATCCATTTCAGCAAGTATAACTTGAAAACAACCCATGGCTCTGATACTACTGATGGATTTTGTATAATACAACATCCTATGGTGCACATGTGACCCTAAATACCTTGGATCTATGTTTTCACTAATTATACATGCAAATGGTTTCCAAGGCATTAAACCTATAACTGGCTTGCAATTTGTCATAAACAATACAAGATACTAGTTAGAGTAACATACCTTTTATGTGACTTGAAGTCTTGATGTATTTTGGTGTTACTTGAAAGACTTTGGCCTTTAAGAACTTAGTGCCCCAAGTGTTGCACCTCAAATGGAATCAAATCACCTAGAACAAAGGTGACTCTTGAGAGAGAATTCCATGCACCCACAAACCTCCATATTTCTCTAAGAAAAAAAGCACTTCATGTAGGCGTTTTTAGGTCATGAGGAATGTATTTATATGTTGGATGCTAATGGTCATGGGTATAACCCAAATCCATATCCATGGGTTTTATGATCCATGGTTCATGTGGCCCAACTCTTTATGTATCCATACATAAACTTGGTCCAACATGGATCATAAGCCCAACACATATAAATATAACTAATTACCATAATTAGTCCCCATAGATTTAATTAGTCTCTTTTTGATCACTAAATCAATTCCAAATTAATTCTTGATCAATACTAATTAAAACATATGATCTTATATTAATATATTAGAACTATAATATATTAATAAATCATATATAACCTTCTCTTAAGAGTCCATCCTAACAAATTGTCCTGGTCTTATGTAACCCAAATGGATAATGCTACTCTCGGGTCGAGTACATACCAATAATAGTTAGGGGCTTGGACATCTAATCCAATAGTTGGTATTAATACATTAAGTGCTTAAAGTCATGTTTTGGGCATTTGTGGTGTACATCGAGCGTACCTTCTAGGTACGCGGGGCGTGATAGGCTTGGCCTGAATTCCCTCTTGGTCGTAGTCCAGTATGTTGGGCGTAAAGGTAGTATGCATGGCGTACTCACTAGGAGGACTTTTGGGCCATTTTGGGCTTTGGGCCATGGCTTGTTGGGCCTAGAGTAGGAAGGGTAAAAGGGTCTTTTACACTTTTGTAAGAGGGTTTATGATTTGGGATTTTATTGTAGGTTAATATTAGGGTTGGTTTGAATGTGTTTACTGTGAGAAGCCATCGTAGCAGTATTTTGTGTGTGATTGTTTATCATTGGAATGAGATAAGTCTTTTTGTACCATTTGGCGTGTCGAAGTAAGCAATTCCAACCCATTGATTTATGTTTATAGAATGCTAGTTGTCTGTGTGACTCTTTCATGTATTATATGTGTTTGTATGTATACCGGGCAGTGCCTGATGGATGTGTCGGGCTGGTCTCATCGCATGTTACTAATAGATCTGTATCGG